TTTAAAAAAAAATTCAAAACTGAGTATAGCCGTTCGGCTACACTATTTTTAAATATAAAAAAGAGTCCAGCCATTAGGCGCCACGTGTCAACACATGTCTTTTTTTTTAAATTTCAAAACTAAGTATCGCCATGCGGCTGTACTCGTTTTTAAAAATAAAAAAATAACGAAGAACCTCTTTCATTTAAAGCCACGTGTCAAAAATCGGTATAGCCGCCAGGCTACACCTTTTTTTATGAAAAATATTCTAGTATAGCCGGCCGGCTATACTATTTAATTAAAAAATTAATAATAAACCTAATTGCATACGTTTGCACCTTATGGATATTAATTCGCAACATATCCAAAGTTGATATTAATCTTCCTCTATATGATGTTTTAATATAATTTTTATACGATGTGTTATTCTTATGCAATAATGTGTGAGAATTATTTGTATAATACATGAATTTGTGTGTGTTACTGAAAATTTTATAAAAAGTATGTGAAATTTTTTATTTAAATAATTAAATAATTGGTTCAAATTTAAATTTGTGTGTTACTGAAAATTTTATAAAAAGTACGTGAAATTTTTTATTTAAATAATTAACTAATTGGTTTAAATTTAAATTTGTGTGTGTTATTGAAAATTTTGTAAAAAATACGTGTACAAAACATTATAAATACGTACATGTACAATACGACTATTGCATGTTTGCTTTTTAAAGAGAAAGTGAGACGTTTATAGAATATGAATGTATTGTTGAAAAATACGTACCTACATATGTGTATATATGTATATATATATATATGAATACATATGTAAAAGACTATAGCCGCTCGTCTATACTATTTATTAAATTCAATTTATAAAAAAAAAAAACCAATAATGCCTCTTGCCTGTACTATAAATCTAAAACTGAGTATAGCCGGTCGGCTATACTATTTTAAATATAAAAAAGGTCCCCCACCCATTTGGAGCCACGTGTCAACGCATGACTTTTAAAAAAAAAAAATCAAAACTACGAATAGCCGCGCGGCTATACTAATTTTTAATATAAAAAAGGCCCCCAACCATTTGGCGCCACGTGTCAAAAACCTGTCTATCTTAAAAAAATTTCAAAACTGATTATAGTCGTTCGGCTATACTATTTTTTAATATAAAAAAAGACCCCGAGCCATTATTCCCCACGTGCCAACACATGTCTTTTTAAAAAAAAAATTCAAAACTGGGTATAGCCGTGCGGCTCAACTATTTTAATATAAAAAAGATTCAAGCCATTAGGCGCCACGTGTCAACACGTCTTTTTTAAAAAATTAAAAACTGCGTATAGCCGTGCGGCTGTACCGTTTTTGAAAATAAAAAATAAAGAAGAACCTGGTCAAAAATAAGTATAGCCGACCGGCTATACCTTGTCTTTATAAAAACAATTCTAGTATAGCCGCACGGCTATACTATTTAATTAAAATTTTAATAATAAATCTAGTTGCATTCGTTTGTACCTTATGGATATTAATTTGCAACATATCCAAAGTAGATATTAATCTTCCTCTATTTGATGTTTTAATATAATTTTTATACCATGTGTTATTCTTATTCAATAATGTGTTGAAATTATTTGTATAATACGTGAATTTGTGTGTGTTACTGAAAATTTTGTAAAAAGTACGTAAATTTTTTTATTTAAATAATTAACTAATTGGTTTTAATTTGAATCATAGAGCCTAAGTTTGGGATTGCTGTCACTTTTAAAAAAAAGTTATTTCTGCTATGCTTTGAAAATAATTAGCTGTAAAGTAAAGCAGCTCCGTGTTTGGTAAATTTTAATATAAATTTTTTGTAACTGTGAATAACGACTAAAATAGACATGATGTTAAAAGTGTTATGTACTAATCATGTGGTGGTAGTGGTAGTGATGGAGTGGAGGTAGTGGTGGTGATGAAGGTGGAGTTGGTGGTTGTGGTAGTGGTGGTGGTGGTGGTGAGGATGGCGATTGTGGAGGTAGTGGTGGTGGTGGTGGTTGTGGTGTTGGTTGTGGAGGTGGAGGTTTTGGAGGAGGAGATTGTGGTGGTGGTGGTGGTGGTGGTGGAGGTGGTGGTGGCAGAGGATGAAGAGGAGAAGGATGTGGTGGTGGTGGTGGAGGTAGTGAATGTGGTGGTGCAAGTGGTGAAGTTGGATGTGGAAGTGGAGGTGGTGTCATTTTTTAAAATGAATGATAGTATTTTGGGAATTAAAAAAATTCATTAAAATTTCATCTCTGCTTCTTTTGAAAGCAACTTTGAAAAGCAACCTAAAGCCTGCTTTTAAAAGATGCTGTCAAAAGGCCACTGCTTTTAAAATAATCGGGATATTTTATTTTTACCAAATACCTTAAACTGCTTAACTTTAAAGTGAAGCAGGTTTTTGGCGAAAAAAAGCAATCACAAACGGGGCCTGAGCCCCAAAGCCCAAGGCCTATCTTTTGATTAATTAAATATATTAATTAACCATCGACCCAATTAACTAGGCATTTAACCTTAAGCCATACCCACAAGCCACTCAATTAGGCCACTTGCATAGCCAATACAAACTATTCTATTTCCAATAGTAAGTCTTATAAAAACTTCCAAGGAACTCTATTGTTCCAATGTGGGAACTCAAACATGTTTGCAGTCAGCACTATGAAATTTCATGTCTACATGGTGCTGACTGTAACATAATACGCACACAACATCGTTGTATTTCTGTTGTGTCTGTTGCTGCTCGTATATCCTCTGAAAGGGAAGAGAATCTTGGTGAAACTGTTGGTTATCATATCTGCTTGGAATCAAAACGTTCTGCTCGAAAAAACATGAATTTTGCACCACTGGAGTATTACTTAGACCGTTGGTAATACAATTTTTCTAATATGTTTCCGACACCTGCATGATCCATGGTGTTATAATTTATTAACCTCTGATTCCCCTTATTTTATTTCACCTGTTTTTTCAAATACTAAATTTCCTCAATCTATTTCTAAGAAAAATTGTGCTGGCTACAAACATAGCAGAGAGTAGTATCACCATAGATGATGTTGTGTATGTCATAGACTGTGGAAGGTCAAAGGAAACCAGTTATGATGCTTTAAACAAGTTGGCTTGTCTATTACCATCATGGATTTCAAAGGCTTCAGCACATCAGTTATAATTTACTACCAGAAGTAACCGAATTCAAGGTTTTACCTGTATGTCAAACTTGTTGAGACTCAACCAAGGTGGATCCATTTATGGTTTGTCAAAATAAACATTTTATTAAATTTTATTGCTTTGGTGATGATTCCAGAGGCGACAGCGTGCTGGCCGTGTGCAGCCTGGGGTTTGTTACACACTATATCCAAAAATGATCCATGATGCAATGCTCCAATATCAGTTACCTGAAATTTTCCAAACACCTTTGCAAGTTTGCTGCTTGGAGCTGTTGGGTGTTTTTTGGCTAAGGCACTTCGGCCACCAGATCCTCTTGCTGTTCAAATGCAATCGAACTTCTCAAAACCACTGGAGCTTTAGATAACATAGAGGAGATTACTCCGCTTGGCATGTAAGTTATGCTAGTCTCTACTGAATATCAGCTATGGTAGTTGACTGAAAAATCTTACATGACAGGTCGCCATCTTTGCACACTACCATTGGATCCAAACATTGGGAAGATGCTTCTAATGGGTTCTATCTTTCAATGCCTGAATCATGCCTTAACAATTGCAGCTGCCCTTGCTCATCGTGACCCTTTTGTCCTACCAATAAATAGGAAAGAGGATGCTGATGCTGCAAAACAATACTATGGTTTTCCTTAAATTTTGAAAACAAAGTATAGCCGGGCGGTTTTACTCGTTTTAAAATGTTTATTTTCGTAAAAGAGTATAGCCGAACGGCGATACTGTTTTTGACACGTAAGGGCTAGGCCGGTGCTTTTTAAAAATTTATAAATAGTATAGCCGGGCGGCTATACTCGGTTTCTATTTTTTTTAAAAAAATCGTACAGCCGACCGGCTATACTACGGTCTTTTAGAAAAAAATAGATTGTTTAAGAAATAGTATATCCGTGCGGCTATACTTGTTTTGCTTTTTTTTTTAAAAAAAAGTATAGCCGCCTGGCTTTACTGTTTTGACACATGGCACCTGAGCCCTTTTTTTGTATATATAAATAGTATAGCCATCCGGCTATACTTTTTAAAATGAAAATTTAATCTGGGATATTTCGCTGGCATAGACCTTTGCCGACGAACATTCATCGGGACAACTTTTTCTTTTTAAAAAAAAATTAAGTATAAAATTAGTTTCTTTACTTTTGTTTTCTGGCCTACTTCTTTAATTTAATATATGTTATTAAGTAATATGTTAGTCTTTTTTAATTACTTTAATTAGTAATTATATTTTAAACAACAAATAGAATAATGAAATTAAATATGGAGTTTGCTCCACTAGGATACAACTTTCTAAATCAAAGTCCTATCACTAGGGCTTTGATTTCTAGTGAAATTTGTGTGTTTATCTATGCGGACTCAAGATTTAAAAATGACGTGGGCTAAATTTTTCTTAAGTACTTACAACTTATTAAAAACTCGACGAGTGAATTTTATTAATGACAACTTAAAAAAGCATCAGGGACATAATGAATCTTACCTCTCAAAATGCTAGTACATGTAGATAAAAACATACTTAAATAGTTTTTTTTTTATATAGTATAAACGATAGTCTAAAATAGTAGATATTAAATAACTTTTTCTTACTATTTTAAATTAGCAGGCTTGGCAAGTGGGTGGGCTTTTCTTTTGGGTTTTTAACTTTTCAAAAACTGGTGATATGGTATGGGCTGGTTTTGGGCCGTTGAAAATTCAAATTTGTTTTCTGGTAAAATGTTAAAAATAAAGTTGTCTGAGATTAATATCTGCAGCGTCGTATTTAAAGAAATGGGTAAAATGACGGTAGTGCGGAGGTGACGTAGAGGCAATTACGGATTATATAATTTAATTTTCATCCTTTATTCACTTTCTTCCTAAAAGTAAATAACCAAAAATCAAACCTGCTCTGCTGATCACCAAAAAATTGACTGATAAACAAGCTCGGCCTCCATTTCATTGCAAAAGGGGGAAAATGGAGAGAGCTAGGATTCTCAGATTGAGATTGGGAATTTGAGGTGGATCTGCAATTGAAAACTCCGTGATACGAATTTGGGAGCTGGTTGGATCGAATCAAATTCGATTTTCCAAAATCTAGAAAGTAAGGTCAGAATTTCAGCTGTTCCTCCCGAGAGACAAATCTGTTCTTGTAAATTTTGAATTTCGAATCTTTGGTATGAAAATTTGGAAAGATCGAAACAAAGAGAGGCAATTTTTAGGTGTTACGCTTTGGATGAACAGCTGTTGGTAGGTGGGTAACCTCATTTGAGCTCAATTCTGAATTGCAAGGTACCTGAAACCCACAAGAACACTCTTTTCGGCGATGCACTGAATTTGTAGCTTAATTTTCTAAGAATTCATCTTTCATTTGTATTATAATCCACAAATAAAATATGCATGCCCGGCATCGCAATCCTGGAAATGGGTACAGGTCCAATTCCATGGGTATGGGGATGGGCATGGCTCCCAATTCTCGGATCTCCCCAGAGACTTCTCTGAGGGGCCATAGTTTTTACAACTCCGAACACCGAAACTTCAATCGCGGTTTTGGCCGCCCCAAATCTTTCCAGCCACCTCCAGCTCCGCCGCCTCCGCCACCGCCTCCAGCTCCGCCCCGCAAAGGCGACATCTTTATGGAAGCGGGGCGCCTTGCCGCTGAGTATTTGGTATCTCAGGGGCTGCTGCCTCCGAATGCGCTCCCCGCCAAATGGCAGAACACTAGTTTAAAGAAGCAAGTGGGGGAGTTTCAGGAGGCTGACCATTTGCAAATTGCATCAGAAGGCCGGACTTCGGCTCTTGCTCGGTTGGGGAATTCGGTTTCGGATGGAGGGTCAAGAAGGGGAAGGTTTGGTGTTGATGAATTTAG